GGGCGGTGTTCTGCTATATTAGGGGGGGGGTGGGGATGGGGATGGGGGTGGGGTGGGGTGGTAGGGTTGGTGGAGAAAACACCTCCACCCGCCGGCCTCATATCCACCTCCTCTCTCCCTCTCCTTCTTCTACTCTCACTTCATCTTCTCTCGCCTCCTCCCTTCTCTTCTTTATCCTCATTTTCCCCTCTACATCTTTTTTACCAGGCCTACTTAACCCCTCATCTGCCTCCTCCTTCCTTCTTTTATCTCCTCTCTTCTCCTCATTTTCTCTCCTCCATCAAACTAAAACACGAGAAAAGATTGGACCAATATGGTCAGACACCGGCGAGCTCACTGATAACGACAGAGAAATGAGCAATAATTTGAATAAATATTTTTCAACAGTTTTCACCACCGAAAATTTAAACATGATACCCGGGGCACCGACTCTATTCAGAGATAGTGAAGAAAACAAATTAAGCGAGATAGTAGTGACTAGTAACGATGTTAGTAAGCAAATAGACAAACTAAAGCCTAATATGTCACATGGTCCCGATGAGATATTTGCCAGAGTATTACAGGAATGTAAGGAAGAGCTTAGTATGCCCTTAGCAAAGTTGTTTAACATGTCCTTGAAAACAGGTGTAGTACCAGAATCCTGGAGGATAGCGAATGTAATACCGATTTTCAAGAAGGGGGATAGATCACTATCCTCTAACTACCGCCCAATCAGTCTAACATCAATAGTAGGCAAATTACTGGAAGCAATCATTTCAAACTCTATTCGAAATCACCTGGAGAAGCACAGATTGATCAATGATTCCCAGCATGGCTTACAAGCGGACGTTCTTGTCTAACTAATCTATTAACATTCTTTTCATCAGTTTTCGAATCGGTGGACGAGGGGCACAATTATGATGTGGTATATCTTGACTTTAGCAAAGCCTTCGACAGAGTCCCCCACGAAAGACTAATTAGAAAGGTAGAAGCTCATGGCATCAAAGGTAACATCCATAAATGGATTAGGGCGTGGTTACAGGACAGGAAACAGAGAGTGAGCATTAACGGCACTAAGTCCCATTGGAGCAACGTCACAAGTGGAGTTCCCCAAGGCTCAGTACTTGGACCATTATTATTTATTATATACATAAACGACATAGATATCGGCATAGACAGCAACATAAGTAAATTTGCTGATGACACTAAAATAGGACGTGTTATTAAATCTGAAGAGGACTCAGCAAAACTACAGGAAGATCTAAACAAATTTTTCGAATGGTCTGAAAAATGTCAGATGAAATTCAACGTGGACAAATGTAAAGTACTCAGTATAGGAGATGTAAACAGGGAAACCAGATACCAGATGAACAACGATGCCATAGAGAAATCCGACTGCGAGAGATATTTAGGAGTAATGATAAGTAGAAACCTTAAGCCAAGTAAACAATGTGTTTTTGCTCGTAACAAGGCTAATAAAGTACTTGGGTTCATACAAAGGAGTGTTAGTTACAAGACTAGCTAGGTCATCCTAAAACTGTATCTTGCTCTTGTGAGACCACACCTGGATTACGCAGTTCAGTTCTGGTCACCGTATTACAGGATGGATATAGAATCCTTGGAAAGAATTCAGAGGAGAAAGACAAGACTAATCCCGGGCATTAGGAACCTTGAGTATAGAGACAGGTTAAAGCATCTTAATTTGCACTCCCTCGAGAGACGTAGAGTGAGGGGCGACCTGATAGAGGTGTTTAAGTGGAAGGCAGGGCTAAACAAAGGGGACATTACAAAGGTACTCAAACTATCCAACCAGGAGCGAACTCGTAACAATGGTTTTAAATAGGACAAATTTAGATTTAGGCGGGAAATAGGTAAACACTGGTTTGGAAACAGAGTAGTGGATGAATGGAACAAGTTACCAAATATCATCATTAACTCGAATACGCTGAATAGCTTCAAACATAGGTTGGATGCTTATATGAGCAATAGGGGTTGGGTGTAAATGGGACTGCCCAGTATGGGCCAATAGGCCCGCTGCAGTTTCCTCCATTCTTATGTTCTTATCTACTATTTTTTATTTATTTTTATTCCATATTCTACACTATCTTCTCCCATCTCCTGTACCTAATTCTCCACGTCCTCCTCTTCCTCCATTTAGTAATATTATATTTTAGTCCACCTATCTCTCTTCTCTCTTCCTATCTCTCTTCTCTCTTCCTATCTCTCTCCTCTTCTTGATAATTTTAAATGATTTCCCTAACTATTTTTTCCTCCACTAGCCAATGAAAAGGTCGTTCACCTGATAAATTAAATTACAATTGGTCGACATTCCCTCTTCAATCATTCTCTCGGTGACCAGTGTAATTAGGGGTTATTACAGGTGAATAATTAAGGGGAGGGGGTCAAATTGGTCCTATTTTGACCTGAAGGGACAGTGACATAACGAGGGGTTTAAGAGATAATGGGAGACAAGAGAAGGTGTAGGAGATTTATTTGAGTGTGTGTCTCTGTAGATGGAGATAATAAGAGACGGGAGAGTCTCTTGTCCCTCTCTGATCCCTCTTATTACGGAAGAGAGAGGGGGGTAGTTTGAGGTCTCTCTCTTTCACTGGAGATAAATAAAAAAAATCAAAGATGATCATAATATGTTTCAGTCAGTGAGTCAGTTCATATAGAGTAGTAAGTGAGTCAATCATTTAGTCATTCCATACAGAAAATAGTCAATCAATTAGTTAGTCAGTCCACACAGGTAGTAATCAACGAGCCATCAGTCAGTTCACACAGAAAGTAGTCAGTCAGTTAGTCCACACAGAGCCAGCCAGTCAGCCAGTCAGTCAGTCATCTAAACACAAACAAAGCATTAATATAACCTAACATAATCAGGAGAAATAATATAAAAATGACATTGTATATTAAAGCGTTTATTATAACAGACATGACAGACAGACAGGCGGACAGAGACGCTCCTGTATGACCCTATCACGGCAGGTACACGACGGAATGCTTCAACATCTGTTTACGTTCATCAGTGACCTCATTTGATCCGAGAAAATCACCTCATTTGACCTTATATATGACTTCCTGTGATCTGAATAGTCATTTCATTTGCAATACATTTCATCTAACCTCATAATTAACCTCATTTGACCTTTCAAATAACTTCTTTAACATGAAAAATTTTCTGAATTTGTGGCACAGATCACGTCATTACACTTTATGTTTACTTCATGTTACTTAATAAATCTTATCTGACATAAAAGCATCTCATGTGACCTCATAATTGACCTCATTTGACCTAACGTATCACTTCCTCTGGCTTTCCCATCTATGACGTCACATCGTCTGAACTAACAAATTTCATCTGATTTCACACATGACATGACCTCATAATATTCCCAACCTGCTATGACTATTGACTTGATGTAACCTGAAAATCCTCAACATTTAGACTCTAAAACAAAGACCATTTAAAGACCTACCAGCACACGGAGGTCCCTGGGTCTCGGTCATATAACAGTACCATTAACACCCTCTAATGTTTACTAACCAAAACAAGCAGTTCACCTTGACAATGGGTCGCGGTGTAGCAGCTTTCAAAAGTGCACACTAACATATCTGACTTAACATGTTTATTATTTTTTGCATCCCAGTCATGTACGTATCTTAAGTAGGCATGTATACAGTATATATATATATATATATATATATATATATATATATATATATATATATATATATATATATATATATATATATATATATATATATATAAGTATAAATGCCAGTTAATGCCCTTTATAAGTAGATACATATGACTTATATAACTAAAGTTTATAACACGTCTTTAAACCACTGTAAACCTCGAAGACACTAAGACATTATTATGTACTTTTTTTTTGCAGATTTACATTATTTATCATTTTACCTACCTTATTATTATTATTATTATTATTATCATCATCATCATTATTATTTTCATTATTATTTTTGTTTTTATTGAATTTCTCCATCATTTTCTATACTCAGACAGACGCCTATAGGGGAGATTTTACTGGACCTACTGTTACACATGTGTTCCCAGTGACCTAGGAATAAGATGTGCAAATTATGGTTGTGGCGGAGTGTGTCTGTGTGTTAACCTTATCTCTGGGGGAATGTATGGGGAGGAAGGGGATGACTGGGGCTGACTACTAACAAGGCCTTGTATGGGGAGGAAGGGGAAGACTGGGGCTGACTACTAACAAGGCCTTTCCCCCCTACATGCCAACACGGTTCCTGCTGCTTTTGTTTATACCTTGTAATTGTTTTTTTAAAGTCTTCAAACACACTTATAGTCTTGGCACTTGTGAGTTCCTTGAAGCACTTGTGTTTTTTAAAGACAGGTGTTCTCCAGGTAGGTGTTCTCCAGGTAGGTGTTCTCCAGGTAGGTGTTCTACAAGTAGGTGTTCTCCAGGTAGGTGTTCTCCAGGTAGGTGTTCTACAAGTAGGTGTTCTCCAGGTAGGTGTTCTTCAGGTAGGTGTTCTACAAGTAGGTGTTCTTCAGGTAGGTGTTCTTCAGGTAGGTGTTCTCCAGGTAGGTATTCTCCAGGTAGGTGTTCTTCAGGTAGGTGTTCTTTGGGAAGGTGTTCTACAGGTAGGTGTTCTTCAGGTACGTGTTCTTTGGGAAGGTGTTCTACAGGTTGGTGTTCTTCAGGTAGGTGTTCTTCGGAAAGGTGTTCTACAGGTAGGTGTTCTACAGGTTGATGTTCTTCAGGTAGGTGTTTTAGGTCGCTGTTCTTCAGGTTGGTGTTCTTCGGGTAGGGGTTCTACGGGTAGGTGTTCTCCAGGTTGGTGTTCTTCAGGTAGGTGTTCTTCGGAAAGGTGTTCTACAGGTAGGTGTTCTACAGGTTGATGTTCTTCAGGTAGGTGTTTTAGGTCGCTGTTCTTCAGGTTGGTGTTCTTCGGGTAGGGGTTCTTCAGGTGAGTTCTGTGGTGTTCCCACGGGGTAGTTCTACGGGTAGGTGTTCTTCAAGTTGGTGTTCTTCAGGTAGGGTTCTTCAGGTTGGTGTTCTTCAGGTTGGTGTTCTTCAGGTTGGTGTTCTTCAAGTAGGAGTTCTACGGGTAGGTGTTCTTCAGGTAGGTGTTCTACGGGTAGGGGTTCTACGGGTAGGTGTTCTTCAAGTTGGTGTTCTTCAGGTAGGAGTTCTACGGGTAGGGGTTCTACGGGTAGGTGTTCTTCAGGGAAATATTCTCCAGGTAAATGTTCTTCAATTCGCTGTTCATCAAGGATGTGTTCTTCAAACAGATGTTGTTCAGGTAGACGTTACCTGTTCATTCCTTTCTTTCTGATCATAGCAGGTAGAGAGTGACATACACACACATGTACACAACAAACTTAACAGACATACTACATATGAGAGACAGACAGACAGACAAACACAGTAGACAGACAAACATCAAAGAGACGGGGAGACAGATGTCCTACTGGCACTGGTCCTCCGCTGTAAAATAAGAAAAAAAAATTGTATCAGTGTGAACATAAAACATAAGTGTAAACACGACAATAATGCTTAGGTAAATATAAACAAACCCATTAAGAAGAGTTACTTGAAAGTGTACAGGTAAACAAGATTATCCTGGTTTAGAAGGATATTTGTAAACAATGAGTAACATATCAACAAGATTATAAATACATTTGTAAACAAGTAAGGTGAAAACAAACGTCACAAAGAAAAGAAGAAACGTTTCTAAGTATTAAGAACGTTTACGTCGTATACTTAAATACACCACATAAAAAAATATATAACAAAACCACCAAATTTTTCTATCGTTTAGTTTGTCATGAAAGCCGTAATGAGTGGGTAATTAAGCAGAATATTATATATCATTCACTTGTTTGTTTTATTACGTAATTAAAACAAACAAAGGAGGTGATTCAGTCTAATTAGTTATTACGGAATTTTAACTGAGCGTGTGGGAACAAAAGGGATTTTTATGGATTAAGTTCTTGGAATATTAATTAATGTACATGAGTCTTTAGCCTACTTTTCTCCCTCCCTTCCTCTGCTTCCCTCCCTGCCGCTTTCTCTTCCTCCCTGCCTTCTGCTTTTCTCCTTTCCCTGCTTCATTCCATGCCTGCTTAACTCCCTGCCTTCTGCTGCCCTCTATACCTGCTTCCTTCCCCGACTGCTTTCCCCCCTGCACCCTGCTTTCCTCACTGTCCCCTGCTTTTCTCCTTGCCTCCTGCTTCCATCCCTGCTTGCTTTCTCCCCTTCCCTCTATATTCCTCCCTGCCTCTTCACGTGCCTTCCAGCCAGTTACAGTTTGCACAAGTGAGAGGTAGAAGCTGTGTGTCCAGGCGGGTTACCCAAGTCAAGGCCCTCTCACTCCCACAACCCCGTCGTCTCCCTTCCATTTTCGTCTTCTTCCTTTCCCTTTCTTTTTCTCCTTCATTTGTCGCCCCCCCCCCCTATCTTCTTCCTACCTTCTTTCCTCTCTCTTTTTCAATTTTTCCTCCACTCTCCTCCCTCATTCTTTCTTTTCTGTGTCTGTTCTTTCTCAACCTTTTATTCTCCCTCCTCCTCATTATCATATTTATCATCTTCCCTTTCTCTCTTTTTTCCATCCCTCTTTTCTATCTCTCCTCCCTTTAACCACCCTATTTTGTCCCTATCCTTTTCCCCATCTCACCCCATTATCCCTTTCCCACCCTTCCTTCCTTCCTTCCCTTCATTCCTTCCCCCTTTCTCTCTTTCATCATCCTTTTGTTTAACTTTAGGTTTCGTCAGTAGTAAGTCTTCAGCATATTACCAACTCTCTCTCTCTCTCTCTCTTCGTAATCTGGAATCTCAAAAGTTTGTTTCCTGAAGTTTTCTCTCATAAACTCCCTAGTTTAAATAGAAGTTTCTTGTTGATTTAGTTGGATGAAAACGTAAATTCACTGAAACTGCAACAAAAAGATGGATTCTTAAGGAAATTTGTTTTGTTTTAATTTGGAGAAGGGAGAACGTATCTAATTGGCTTAAATAAGATAGGATCTACTTATTTAACCCAATGTACACACACACACACACACATTCCTTCTCCGTACCACCACCACCACTCACTACACACCCACTATCACCACCATACATCACTACCGCCACACTCCACCACCACCACCACCACAACCACCACCACCACACAGGGTTCCCTCAACAAATATTGAATACTTAAAAGTCCGACGCCCTGTCTTGACCCTTTGTAAACAACCCCAGGAGCTCTCAGGGCAGACCACCAGATTAAGGGCTTAGCGGAGACGATGAACCCCTTGTGTGTCTCTTGTATGTTAATCCCTTGAGTACGATGACCTTAACCCCTTGAGTACGATGACCTTAACCCCTTGAGTACGATGACCTTAACCCCTTGAGTACGATGACCTTAGCCCCTTGAGTACGATGACCTTAACCCCTTGAGTACGATGACCTTAACCCCTTGAGTACGATGACCTTAACCCCTTGAGTATGATGACCTTGTGTATGATATTCCTAATCCCTCAAGTACTATTACCGTAACCCTTTCATAGTGTAATTAAGCAGCAGGTGAAACAAGCTCTGGGGGGCTAATCTTAAGGTGGTATTTATTTTATTATATTGACCCAAGTGTAAAATTAAAAGAGCCCTAATTTTTGTGTTACTCGGGTCACTCAGGAGTTACTTAAATTATTCTACTCAGGTCACTCACCAGTCACTCAAAACAATCATCAGTCACTCAGAACACTTACCAGTTACTCAGCACATTCACCAGTAACTTAAGACACTCACGAGTTACTCAAGACACTCACCGGTTGGGACGTAATCACACTTGTCGTGCTCGTAGCTGTAGAGGAGGCCGACAGGACAGAAGCGCTGGTGATACTTCCACACGTTGTCTTGCATGTAGCACTCGAAATACTTCTTGCACAGCTGTTTCGTGCCCTGTAGGAGGAGGGAAAGAGGGAGATTACGGTAGAGAGGGATGGAGAGCAGGAGGACAAAGGGAAATGGGAGGTAAGTTGAGAAGGAAGAGGAGGTGGATGGAGAAGGAGGAGGGGGAGAAGTGAGGAGAAAATAAATCACACGGTGTATTAGTGAGATGTTCATTTCTCTTTTTGTCACCCGTTAATCAACACACCTGACCAAGTGCCTCACCTGTCGTCATGATATTTAGGATACTGTATTTTGAACACCTATTTGCTTTCTGGCCAGAATAAACCCACAGCGAGATAACGAGGTGTCATCACTACCACAACTAATAACGAATGCCCCTGAAGAACGAGGATGGCCTGCCCTAGGGCCACCTAGGCGTGAATTTGTTTTAGGTGTAGAAGCTGTCGCCAACACAACAACCACACCTAAAGTTAACGAGTTGCATGACCCAGTGTCAAGGAACAGTCCGAGAAGACCGGACAACTCGCCAACTGCACTGGCCAACCATTACCCTGGAACACGATCCGCAAATCGATTAACATCCAGGTTCCCAATTACTACTGGGTAGACAGAGGCAAATGGCGTAAAGAAACTTGCCTATAGTTTCACCCTGCTCGGGGATCGAACCCGGGTCCACTCGCTTGTGAGGCGAGCATGCTAACCATTACACCACAGGCCACCACAACTACCTCTTATAACAACAACAACAACACTACTACTACTACTAATAATAATAATAATAATAATGCCCAAAACAACAAAAATAGTACCAAAAAATTAATGACGGCAAAAATAACAATATCATCGATAACAAAACAACAGCAAGAGCAATAGTAAATAATAACAACAACGATAAGAACAACACTAACAACGAAAACAACAATAAACACAACATCAAATGAAAAAAGGAAAAGACAATTTAAAAGCTGGAAGAAGAAGAAGAACAGGAAGGAGGAGGAGGAGTAATATAAGACAAAGGAGAAGAGGAAGTGTGGTAGGACAAGAAAAAATATCGTCTCCTTGAAATTATATAAATTGAGCTGAGGACGAAGACTCGACCAACACAAGAAGTGAAGGTTCCCATGAGTTGACTGTACCACCTGCTGTGTCCTCCTTTGTCAACCTGTTCCTGACTTCTCTGTCCGGCTCCACTTGAGGATAATGCCCCCTGCTGAGTTTGCTTCATTTGAGAGTAAGCCTCCCCCAATATTGTCTTCCTTCTTGTTGACCTGACCTGCTTGACTCGCTTCATTTAGGGAAGGGGAGGAGAGGGAAGGGGAACGTTGACCTCTGTGCTTCACTTCCTATCTGTTACTCATGTACACCAATAGCGAGAGTATTTATCCAGAGGTCACTATGACTTCGTTGACCCTCCTGACCCAGAACTACACTAAGTTGAGAACACCGTGTAGGTGAGGCGGGTTATTGTTCACTCTCTTGGATATTTCTGGTGATTTAACTTCTTGATAATGGCAGGTAATTCGAGGAGGGAATGTGTGTGTGTGTCAGAGCTGATGATCTCGTGGTAACTGCTTGTTGGTGACCTTGACCCCTGACCTGACCGCAGGAGGGTGGGGATGGCAGCCGCTATTCATGCTGCAATATATGGCTTCTTCATCACCACTTTCACCACCAATATATATTATACACAGAGAAAGAGAGGGGGAGGGTGGTAGAAGATTCATGAAATACGTAAGAATAAAAAAGATGAAGAGTACACAGTGAGCGGAAGAACAACACACACGCACACACAGTAATTCAACACAAACTACAACACATAAAGTCTTATTCCTCCAGCAAGACAACATAACCACACGTTAGCTGCGCTAACAACACAGTTCGGTCACTACTTGCCAGTAAGAACACCTCATTACGTCCGATCTGCACCAATTAGAAGACTGAAATTTTTACCTTCCAGTAAGAAGCAAGAATAGCAACTCACAAACGCCAATGGGAAGACTGGGGTCGTTGTCTACCAATCAGGAGCCAGATTACACACCATATGCAGCAATGTGAGGGGTGAACTGGCTACCTGCCAATTGGGAACCAGATTATACCTAAACTGCGTCTATTAGAGACCTGTGATTTCTGCTTACCAATCAGCAAACAGATTATACCAAAGCTGCACCAATTAGAGGGCTCAAATTACCACTTGCCAATCAGGAAACGGATTACACCTTAGCTTCACCAATGGTAGGTCTGGGGAGGCTACTTACCAATCACGAGCCAGATAACAGATCCAATGCACCAATAACAAGGCTGGGATTGCCACTTGCTCGAACTTACATGAAAAATCTGTTGTCGCGTTGGTGAGGAAAATGGAGTTTATTTCTGTTAAAACGTTATTGACGAGTGTTTGTGAAGGATGAACGAACTGAGGTGTGTGGAGAGGTCAGGGTTATGAACGAGAGAGAGAGAGAGAGAGAGAGAGAGAGAGACATACACACACCCATGACCCAGGAACTCCACCATGACCTCTCCAGAGCTTCACCCACTTGACCTAACGAAATCTTGAATCTTAATTGGGCATGAGTCTTCACCGCTGGGCATAGGCTGGGGGCAGGTTGGGTAGTAATTAGCATTTTATTAAGACAGTAATTACACCTGATATTACCTTTCCAGCATGGTAGTAGTTAGTGAGGGAAGCACAGTGACCGTGGGAAGAGGAGCGTTTGGCGTCTTTAAACATTAAGCTGCTTTAGCATTCCCGCAATAGTAATGTTGATAATAATTAAAATAAAAAATCATAATGTTTCGACTACGACAACTACTAGTAAATATGTTGGTGTGTGTGTGTGTGTGTGTGTGTGTGTGTGTGTGTGTGTGTGTGTGTGTGTCATAGCTCCAAGATCATGAAACCTAAAGACCTAGTACAGTACTTTGCATACCATCTAGGGCCCCAGGGGAGTGCATCTCAATGTTATTTTTTTAGATTTGAGTTAAAGAAAACAAGTTGTGGGGGTAGAGACCCGGGAGCCATACAGTAAGATAACATTATTTCCCTCACCCTCAACCGGACTGGCGGGGGTGATAGTGATAGTGTAGTTGATATAGTGGAGATGATAGTGTATTTGATGTAGTGTAGATTATAGTGTAGTTGATAGTGTAATCACGGACATAGGCTATGAGCTGCCCCTCAAAAACTAGCCCGTTACTGCCAGGTGCCCTATATAATAATAATAGTAACAACAATAATAATAATAGTAATAGTAATAATAATAATAATAATAATAATAATAATAATAATAATAATAATAATAATAATAATAATAATAATAATAATAATAATAATAATAATAATAATAGTTTTCTAGTTATATTAATAAACAGGTTACGTTTTCTCTTTCTAAAGTAACTCTCGAGATTTCGAAGTAAATTTTGAGAGATTCTGAAATAATTTTGGGGGAGCTCTTAAGTAAGGTAAGAGGGTCCTGAAGTGCCTTATCCTTATCCGAAGTAAATGTTGTGACTGAAGTAACTTTAGGCTACTTACCACATACTTGCCGGCCTCACAGAGGGCATACTTCTCACAGTGGAGCTTCAAGATGATGTCTGAGGATGGTCTGATGTTGTCGTAGGAACAGGCCAGCTCCCCGATCTCCGTGATGGTGATGTTGGTTTTGGTCACCGAGCCACACAGGTCTTCCGCTGTTAGGGAGAAAAAGGAGAGTAAAGAGTCAGGGAGGAAAGGGAAAAAAAAGGAAAACAGATGATAGATATGAAGGTAAGTAGAAAGGGTAGATAGGGAGAAAAGAAAGGAGAGAAGAAGAGAGATGAAATATGACAGAGAGGGAGAGAAGAAGAGGGGGGAAAGAGTGAGAAAGTGAGAGAATCAGCTATATAATTCCATAAATTTACCAAAATTGTACAGTTGATTTCATCTCTTGTAAGTCATTATTACAGCAGATACCTGCAGTTTAAACATAACACATGATGACGATATATGCTAGAAGGCAAACAGACAGACTTACGTCGTGGAGGTTTAACACACTCCCTGTCATTCATATTGAAGAAGGAGCCAGGGGCACACTGTAGGAAGGGGGACCTCAGAGGGCACTGGACTTTCCCACACAGATGTATCTTCCTCCTCACCGGTCTACACACATCGTAGAAGGTGCAGGTGCCGGGGACGCCCTTACACTCAAGGGTGGGTTCAGGAGTGGTGATGGGCTTTCCGCAAGGAGGATCGGCCAGGAACGGGTGCACACATTGGTCCAATTCGTCGCTGAAGACCGTGCCGGGCTCACACTCGAAGTAGTACGTCCAGTACATACCCACGTGCATTCTGTCCACACATCTGGTGGTAGGAGAAAAGGGAGGAATATGAGAGAGAACGAGAGAGGGAAACGAATTAAAAACAGAGAGAGAAAGAGAGAGGGCATCACGCCACCACATCACACAGAATGCACACAAACACCCTTTATTCACAGGACAACCCACCTTACCTATTCTATCTAACCTGCACTATTCTACCCACTCATCCTGCCCCCCCCTCGCTCTCTCTCACCGCTGTCCCCCACCTCCGCTATCCTCACTAAGCCATCCCCATCCCTCACTACCCACAACCAGCCACCCCGAGCCGGAGTGACAGCGCAAGATGGATCGTCTTCTGGAGTAAACTTGTCAAGGGAAAACCTATATCACCTGTCCTCCGTTCCATTAGGGCGTGGGAGGGGGAACTTACTTGCCCTTCCACGAGTGAGAAAGAAAGAAGGTTGATAGAATGGGTGAATTTGTGTACGAGAGAGAGAGAGAGAGAGAGAGAGAGAGAGAGAGAGAGAGAGAGATCCATGAATGATGAAGAAAATTGGTATTATGAATCAAACTTTTAGGCAATGTCAATAATAGTAGAGTGGGGCCTTACGTCACCAAGGCCCACCTATCAGTGCCATGCTGTCAGTAAGCACTTCCTAGCTGTCATTAAGCCCCACTTACTAGTACGCAGCTGTCAGTAAGACCCACCTACCAGTGCTCAGCTGTCACCTACCTGTAGTACCAGCTGCAGTTCCTGGGATGGGGGAAGCTGCCCTCCTTCTCGCATTTCACCTTGGGGTCGACGATGTAGTCAGGATAGCGAGCGTCTGGTGATGGAAGGGAACACATACAGCTTGTCCCATTAACTGGTCTACTATGGTGATAATGATGTCGTTAATGTGTTGTCTACTACTAACCTCTATATCCTTACTTCTACTATTACTACTACTACTACTAATAATAATAATAACACAACTATTGCTATTACTACTACTATACTATCAGCTCTACTTCTGCCGTTACTACTACTACTACTACTACTGCTACTAACGCTACTGGTCCCGCAAATACTAATACCACAACTATCATTACTATTACCATTATTGCACTCACTATTCTCACTTATGTGACCTTAATATTATTGATGTATAGTTAGTACGTACTGTATATTCATGCATCTATGTGTATGGTACATGTATGTATTAATTGTATATATGTAATTATTTGAGTGTATTCTTTGGCTGTAAAAAGTTTTCATTAGTTTGACTATTTAATTTTGGAAAATAAAGTGTGTGTGTGTGTGTGTGTGTGTGTGTGTGTGTGTGTGTGTGTGTGTGTGTGTGTGTGTGTGTGTGTGTGTGTGTGTGTGTGTGTGTGTACAATATAAACCCAATAACGAAGAAAATATATAACGAACTCTATTTTCTATAAATCTTTTTAGCTTGTCTGTTGTATGACAAGTGAACGAACAGAAGACATGAGTGAGTATGACAGTGTTTATATAGAGACGTGACCACAAGATAGATGAAGTTATTTGTATTCAGTACCTTGACCTGAAGCAGAGTAGTAGAACCAATCAGATACCTTCCCTAGAATAAAGAACCAATCAGAAACCATCTCCAGAAACAACAAGAAACTCCCGAGAACCATTCAGAATCTTCACGAGAAAAAAGAACAATCAGACACTTTCCCCAGAACCAAGAAGAACCAATCAGAAACCTTCTTCAGAACCAAGGAGAACCAACCAGAATTCTTCCCCAGAATCAAGAACTTCCTCACAACCAACAAGAACCCCCGTGAACCAATCAGAACCTTCATTTGAACCAATCAGAACCTCCCGAAAGCTAACCAGAACCCATCACTGGTTCTCTCAATGCCCCCGAGCAGAATTGATAATTATATGACCGTGTATGATAAACAACCCTGACCTCTGACCTCTCCCCCCTAACCCCCCTTTCACCCCCACCGGAAGTGTAGGACAAGTTGACCTGCTCGTGATTGGTCGGTGTATAGATTACTAGGTTGTTGCAGTGTCTTCCTGTGTGTGTGTAAGTGTGTGTGTGTGTGTGTGTGTGTGTGTGTGTGTGTGTGTGTGTGTGTGTGTGTGTGTGTGTGTGTGAGACGCAAGCACACAAACCTAAATTACCTGTACAAACCTTCGATCGTGCCAACCCTTAAAACGAAAGACAAAGACCTAATTAAAACTAAACAACAGAAGAAGAAGAAGAAGAAGAAGAAGATCCCGGACAGGTAAGATAATCAAGAGCCTAATATTACTCCCAGTGGCCAATGGTGGTTCATTAAACTCGTGTATAAAACAGAACAACGGGAGGTACATGCATGAAGGACCAGGAGAGATTTTAAAGGTCAGAGTTCACTTGAAGGCGAGAAAGTGACCTTGAAGGGGCTGTTAACCTTCGTGTGTGTGGGGAAGGGAGGTAGGGAGGTAGGGAGGAGGGGTGTGTGTGTGTGTGTGTGTGTGTGTGTGTGTGTGTGTGTGTGTGTGTGTGGAGAATAAGGACTGAAATACAATGTGAAAGAAGTTGAATTAGTTTGAGTGATATTTGTGTGTATACGACCCTAGGTTGTATGACTAGGGTGTACAAAGCTATCTAGGGCGTACAGGAATAGCAGGGTGTATAAAATTGTCTTGGTGTAAGGAATTAGTTGGGGTATATTGGCTAGCTAGGGTGCATAGGACTAGCCAGAGTATAGGGAACTAGCTTAGGTGTACAGGGATTAACTAACGTGCACAGGGCTAGGGTGACCAAAACTAGCTAATATAACCAGATAGGGTGTACAGGGTCTAACTAAGGTACACGGAACTAACTAGGGTGCACAGAACTATCTAGGGTGACCAGGGTGACCAGCTAGGGTGTAGAGTGACTTACCATTAGGTCCAGGTATGGCAGAAAGGACGACGGTTACCCCTAACACGCCCACCAACACGCCCACTGCAAACAGTCGACTCAACATCTGTGAGAAAGAGAGAGAGAAAGACTAGGTTAAATAGTGCTAGAGAGAGAGAGAGAGAGAGAGAGAGAGAGAGAGAGAGAGAGAGAGAGAGAGAGAGAGAGAGAGTTGTTTACCTCAGTCAATAGTCGGGTCACGTAGGTAGTCAGGCGTGGGAATTAAATTTATTATCCCACGAAACACGACAATAGAAACAAATATTGAGTTGTTCCCAAAGGAGTGTATTGGTCACAGGTCACACTTACCGTCAACAACACTCTATGAAACATTACAGGTACGTCATATGTACTGTAGACTATAAACAAACTCATGAATACAGTTTACCGGTAGAGTTTATATACATTCTACAGGCAGTACCGTGAATACATAATACATATAACATAAATAACAAGGAGTCTTTTCTACAGTTTACTGCTACATATTTCCTTCAACACATAGTACCGGAGAGAATTGTGGTCTACAGTCTACAGGTGTATATAGTATATATACTACTATCGCTCTACCTGGCAGCTCTCACCTACAGGTTGTTAAAATTATCTTGTTATTACGGCATCATCAGCAGGCCAGTAGCGGGAGGCCGGACTGACGAGCTCAATATATTATTACGGGAGTCTGGACGATCTCCACTGGATGTGGTCAGGCGCTGGTAACACTGATGCCTGATGGATGGTCACCTGGGACTCTTCCCCCGGTGGCCTTCACCCCTCCCGACCACTTGTGGGAAAACGGCTTTCTGGTGGTCTTCTTCGGGAGAGGAACCAACTTCAGAGATCATCACCTCAATTTTCTACTAATGGGCAATGACTGGGAGGTCGGAAGCGGTAGGGGTTCATATGGATGTCTTCCAATAACCTCAGAATGTTATCCTTCTAAGTTGATTTCGGACCATTGTCGAGAACCTTTGTCACAGCAAGACAGACCAGAACCACCCGCAGAGCCTTTCACATCCACACAGGTTAACCAAAATAAAGCAGGAGACAGAGTTTATTTTAACATGACTAAAATCTGTAGTTTACTGGATATTTGTTGACATCATGTGACTCATAACTGACAGTGAAATGGACTCAGGAAGGGAGTTGGTCTCCTTGAAAATCTTTACTTAAGATAAGGGGAGCTGAAAAACAATTGTGTTGCTTTCTTGAGCTTGTGCATCGTCTTAAATTGGAAAATTATCCGTCTCCTATCCAGGTATCACCTGATTACCATCTATTGACTGTCAGCATCACCTCAACGTCACCTTCAGAACTTACATGTCACTTTGTAAGACTGAGAGACAAACACCACGAAGCCACTTCCTCTAGCGGTTTCTTACATAACTCAAGGCGTCATCGGAATCCGGCAGTAACGTCATTGTCCACAGTTTGCCCTGGCTACTGTTAATCTTGATCAGTAGGTATGTATGACAGCCGAGGCACGCGCGGCACTCTGCCCTCCCCACAATGCATGAGTTAGCTGATCATCTCCCCAAGACACGATCAGTCCTGAGGTCTTACTAATCCATAAACAACATTAATTAGTATAGCAACACATAAATTAAGAGCAAATAGCGCGGAAACCCTCGTCTACTATGCTGTTCTGAGTCAACACCCAACTTACGTATCAGCTACTGGTATTTTTTCTTTTACCATTACTCATATTATCATCACCCTCGCCGGTGTAGACAACCTTCACTACTGGTCCTTCTAACTCCTAGTCCTAGTAATTATCTCTGATGTAAATTACCAGACAGTGTGTGTGTAATTAGAAGTGTTTATTATGGCCTGGATGTTTCTGATGCTACAAGTCTTGCCTCTTACTGTCTCGAGATCTTGATGATAATTCTACCTGGATATATGACCAGGGTGTGTACTTGATGTTTTGGCTGCCTGTGTAATTACCTGTCTAGTCAAGTTTATCAAGTTGTTTATTTTTGATTATAAGTTGTAGGATGTTGACTGCTATCTAAAGTTAAAAGAAAAGACTGTATTTTTCCTCTTCGGCTTGTACAGTATATAAGAGGGAAAGGAAGACTTACTTGACATAATGCTTAAAATTGAGTGTTGTACCTTGAGTCTTGTGTAAGAGATGTGAACCAACAAGAGACGAGGAGGGTGATGACTTTGGTGTTTTGGTTAAAGTATTTCCTATCTGGTATATGTCAGTCTGTCTCTTTATCTCTCATCTTTAGTCTTTGTGTCTCTCTTTGTCTCTCCCTCTTACCTTCAGTGTTTGTCTTCCGTCTGTTTGTCAGTCTTTCACTTTTAATCATGTAATATTTTTCTCAAGTTCTTCTCTCTCTCTCTCTCTCTCTCTCTCTCTCTCTCTCTCTCTCAATACATTTATCCATCTATCTCAGTAAGAAAGAGTGAAAGAGAGAGAAAAAAGAAACAGGTAGACAGACAGAGATTAATGGCCCGGTCATCAGCCTCCAGTAGATAGATTGAAGAGGAAATAAAATAGCAAAGGGTAAAGTAGCAAGGGTTAAAGTAACAAGGAAGAAAGTAGCAAGGATAGAGTATAAGAGGAATATAAGTAACAGGGATTAAAGTAATAAGGATTAAAGTAGCAGAGGATAGAGTAACATGGATTAAAGAAGCATGGGTTAAAGTAGCAAGGATTAAAGTAACAGGGATTAAAGTTGCAGGCAGAAATTAAAGTAAAACAGATTAGAGTAATAAAAATATAGAGTAATAAAAGTAAGGAATTAGAGTAGTAGAGACAACAAGACTCCAGGAAGAATACTGTTACTCTAATCTCATATTATCTCTATTTTTTCTCTCTTTTTCTTTTTTTTTTTCCATCCGGCTGAATTTACCGTACTAGCTGGCCCAACGAACCGGATTCCAACATGCCTGATAATGCTGCTGAAAATGTGGCTATGTTACGAGAGAGAGAGAGAAAATGAAAGACAAAAAGAAAAAGAAAGACAAAGAGATACAGAGTGAAACAGAGAGAGAGAGAGATAGAGAATGATATATTATGACAGCAGAATACTCAACCACCAGGGGGTTAGTTGGTGTGTGATGGTTAATGCGAAGAAGAAATGAGAGGAGGAGGAGGAGGTAGAAGAAGAGCTGGAGAAAAATGGCGTAGAAAAGGAAGGAAGAGAGGAAGAGAAAATAACACAGAATGAAGGTGGTAGGAGGAGATGAGGAGGAAGACAGAGGGCGGAGGAGGAGGTGAGGAGGAAGACAGAGGGCGGAGGGGGGAGGAAGAGTGGTTTACCTAATAATTTGGTGATATCCTGAAGGCATATAAATAATATGTAGTTATATATTAAAATACCTGTTAGGTGAGAGACAGAGTATAATAGTGTTGGATTGGGTGTTTTATAACGGTCGCTACAACGGCATTAACGGCTTTAATGGCTATAACGCTCTTCTATAACAGATATACCCGCTAAATTAATCACTCTGTAACGGTATTTCCGTGTCATAACTGTTGCTTATAACGGAATTAACTTGTTTTTAACGAATACTTATTCTGAAGTTAACAATAGTTAACACTACAACGGAACAATCTGCTTATAACAGTCACTCAAAACTGCATTACCTAGTCATAACGGTCGCCAACGGCACAACAACGGCTATAACGGTCATCAATGGCTCCTCTATCCTATTCTAACGGTCAACAGACATTCGTATTCTTACTTAATTCTTATTGTTAGTTATTTTGTATTTATTCTTTATATATTCTTACTATAATACTTTCCTAAGTACTTATTGCCATCACTTATTAGTCTCTGTTCTTCACTTATTGAACATATGGGCTACTTATATCTGTTTAATTATTACTATCACTTATCATTTACCACTTAATATATATATACTACTTATTATTTAGTACTTATTAAACATTACTTATCATCATCATCATCATCTTCAGCATCGTCATCATCATCAACATCATCATCATCATCTTCAGCATCGTCATCATCATCATCATCATCATCAACACCATCATTATCATCATCATCATTATCATCCTATTAATCAAGCCATTTTCACAGAGTGGAAACTGGTTTATAACAGTATACTGGATCTAGGACCACCAAGCGTACTCTCGGGTGGCAAGGGAGGGTCAGTGTTCCCTCAGGTAATCATGTTATACCCGCCTACCTGTACTTAATTGCCGTAATGGTCAAGTTCTGGTGGTAACGGTACCGGACTTGATGATGGTTCCAGATCGAGGTTGAATAAATATAAAATCTTATCACCTGTCATTTATTATAATTTATAACATGTTTCTTTTTTTACTCATTACTTGCTAATTATTACTTCTTATTTATCTCTTATTCTCAATTTATTAAACTTCGGCACATTTCCAAATTAATGTATGTCTCAATTATTAAACTTTAAAGAATCTATTTAATTTCCTAAATATGCGGGATTTTTTTTTTCTCGTGCGACCATTTTTTTTTCTGCGAGAATTTGACAAACATCTCAGGTTAACGGTATTCAAAGCATCAGACGCCAGCATCAGACCCCAAGCCATCGGTAAGATAATAAACGAGTCCACATGCTGGGATACTTGGTCTGAATATATTAAAAGCAGATGATCAGCTTTTGTATCAGTGAAGTACCTAGACAAACACACACACACACACACACATTCGTTGGAGAGTCTAGAACCTTCTGGAGCCTATACCACCACTGAGTGACGGGCGTCGTAGTTCCAATGGCATCTCTCCAGCATCACTCTTAAGATTATGGAAGTCTTAAAAGCTCTTGTGGCCAGGAGGATTATGATGCAATTTGTCTGCTAATAGTGTCTCCTTCTCTCTCTTTATCTCTCTGTTTTCTCTTTCTCTTACTGTGTCATATCTACGGATCTTAATGCTGTCTATCTGTCTGTCTCCCCCCTCCCTCTCTCTCTGTCTTTCTGTCACTCTCCCTCAGTCTCTCAGTATGCCTATAAGTCGCTCTTTGCCTGTCCCTGTCCCTTCCTCCCTCCCTCTCTCTCTCTCTTTCAGTGTCTCAGTCTCCCTCTCTCCCTGCATCTCAGACTCCCTGTATCTGTCTCTCGCGTGTGCTCCTCCCACATACTACATGAGAAGGAGAATTGTTGTCTTGTCCTGTCTAGTTGGTTGATAATAATTAATTGGTGCCTCGACTCTCTCTCTCTGCCCCTTTGTCGTGTAAGGTTCGTTCACATTGCCTTGAAGAATCTGCTTTGTCTTTTTTTATACCATGATATTTGTATTTAAATGTTTATATCTTTCTTTTTTGTGTGTGAATGTTCGAGCATTTTATTGTTGATTGTTTACATATTCACTGTTTATAAGTATCATTCTAATTATATATTTTCTTCAAGTATATAAAGATGAGGTGATCTCTTCGAAAGTCTCAAATGTCTGAATAATTTAGATGGAGTGAGAGATAAGTCTCAAGTCTCAAGGGGGGGGTTAGAGATACTAGTCGGGGGAGGGAGGGGGGGTCACGTCACCTGGTACAAGTGGAGAGAGAACTGGTAAGGTGGTCACTCATGGTGGAACAAGAACTGGTAAGGTGGTCACTCATGGTGGGACAAGAACTGGTAAGGTGGTCACTCATGGTGGGACAAGAACTGGTAAGGTGGTCACTCATGGTGGGACAAGAACTGGTAAGGTGGTCACTCATGGTGGGGCATAACTGGTAAGGTAGTCACTCATGGTGGGACAGAACTGGTAAGGTGGTCACTCATGGTAGAAGAGAGCAGTGTGTGTTGGTCAAGTGGTCACTCATGAAAGAACAGACACACCTTCACTTGCCCCTCATGACCGTGTGTGTGTGTGTGTGTGTGTGTAAGGTGCGTGACGCCGGGACCTCCTACCTCCTCACGTCCCGACTTTAGTTTTTTAAATTCTTCACGTTCCTTGCACTCTTCTTGTGTATTCATTTATGTATAACAATTTATAATGAAAAAATTTATTTATTAATTATAGAAAAAGAAACTAAAAAAATACTTATTCATACATGTAGTAAAATAAAGTATGAAATGATTGATTGATTTACACAGAAAAATACGTAAAAAAAAGGGATTGTCAAGCTAATAATATTTTGTAATTTAAAGAAAAAAATATGGAAAACGATGAAAAAATGTGAGAATTTCTATTTTTGTGTGTCTATCATACATACATACATACATACATACATACACAAAGAAATAAGAAGAGAGAAAGAAAAAGAGAAGGAGTCATAAACAAAGATAATGAAGCAATATATCCACGAGACAAGAGGTGAGGCAGAAGAACTTGTCTCAAGGATGGTGGCCCAGACCTGCCCCCGAACCCTCCAAGGCTCCTCTTACCTTATAGATCTCTACCTCAACTGTGACTATCAGAACGCCAGAACTCTCCCTCAACTGTGACTATCAGAACGCCAGAACTCTCCCTCAACTGTGACTATCAGAACGCCAGAACTCTCCCTCAACTGTGACTATCAGAACGCCAGAACTCTCCCTTAACTGTGACTATCAGAACGCCAGAACTCTCCCTCAACTGTGACTATCAGAACGCCAGAACTCTCCCTCAACTGTGACTATCAGAACGCCAGAACTCTCCCTCAACTGTGACTATCAGAACGCCAGAACTCTCCCTCAACTGTGACTAGCAGAGAGCCAGAACTCTCCCTCAACTGTAACAATCAGAGCGCCTTATTAACTAACTCTCTTGAACCACGCACACAAAGACGGCAGTCAATATTAAAACTACGCTATCGAGGTTTTTTCTTAACTGGGTGCGTGCGTGGTTAACTGTGTCTTTAGGGGAGCAGAAATTAACATAAGGATTTGGTGGGAACTGTGGGGAAGAGGTCCAAGGAAGAGGTCCAAGGAAGAGGAAGAGGAGGAGGAAGAGGAGGAGGGAAGCGGGGAAATATTCTTGTGAGATAACGGCCAGGGAGAAAGAGAGAAAGAGAAGGGGAAGGGGAGGCAGAGGAAGACAAGGAGAGGAGATGGGGAGGGGGGGTTGAAACACTACATTCCTGGCCCATGACTTCTAAGCACACGCCAGAAGCAGTGACTCACCCCCTCCAGACCCCCACCACCACCACTACCCCCCCAAAGATACTCCTCTTTCCATTATTGTCCCCACCTCCTAGTCTCTCTCTCTCTCATATATTGCGCCTCTTGCCACTCTTATCTCCTCCATCACACACACACACACACACACACACACACACACAACACACACACACACACACATCATAAATACTACTCCAGAATAACCTGTTTCGTCTTTATCATCGCCCTAATTGGTGGACGCGTAAGCAACAGTGTCAATAACAAGCACTTCACTCATTAATCACCCATCAGGAGTGAGACAGAGAGACAGACACACGGGAGCTGTCATCAACTCATGGTAGTGATATCTCTGTCTCAATGCTAAGAGACATTTACGAGGTGAGATGATGCGACGGTATATTTGTGGAGGGGGGGGAGGAGATTGTTGTTGTTGTTGGATTGTCTGTGGTGGTAGTTTGTTGTAGTTGTTGTGATTGTTGTGATTGTGTTTTTGTTGTGGCTGGTCTGTTTGTTTTTGTTGTTATTGATATTGTGATTATGGTTGATTTTGATTTTGTTCTTGTTATGGTTATTATTGTAGTTGTATTGTGATTGTTGTTGTTATTATGTTGTTATTGTTCACCACATTCTCATACACCCACATAGGCATCCATACACCTGCAACCAAACATACACACCCGAGCAACATTTAGGCAACGCAAAGGTTACATCCAGGCAACACCCAGGCAACAACCAGGCAACACCCAGGCAACAACCAGGAAACACCCAGGCAACAACCAGGAAACACCCAGGCAACAACCAGGCATCAACCAGACAACACTCGGGCATTAACCAGGCAACACCCAGACAATAACCAGGCAACACCCAGGCAACATTCAGGGAACACCCAGACAATAACCAGGCAACATTCAGGCAACACCCAGGCAATAACCAGGCAACACATCATTAAGGACTTTGACAAGGACACGCACGCGAGAGAGAGGCGGTGTTGCCTGAGGGAGAATATGACGCGAGGGAGAGGGAAGGCGAGTGACGGGGTGAGTGGGAGAGTAGGGAGAGAGGGTGAGAATGATATGGGGAAGGAGAGGGAGAAAAAGCAAGTAGGATGGAGGGGGGAGGAATGGATGGATGAATGGGATGGGATGGAGGATAGGAGAGTGAGTGTGATTGGGAGGGAGGACATGTTGGAGGAAGAAAGAATGAGAGAGAGAGAGAGAGAGAGAGAGAGAGAGAGAGAGAGAGAGAGAGAGAGAGAGAGAGAGAGAGAGAGAGAGAGATAGATAGATTTATATAACTACAAACTAAACAATAAACACCCCCCCGACCACTCCCCCTCCTTCCCTCCCACGAACAAGAGATAACACACTATGATAATTCAGTCATCAGCATAATCCAATAACACAGTGTCATCAGTATTATCATAAACATTCTAAAGTAATATAATGGTCAGGATAATACTGTCAGCCGCCCAGGTAATACGACAGGTGAATTAAAGAGGAAAAAATATTTAAGTTCCAAGTAGCGCAGGGAAGCTGATATTTAGTTAAATTTACCGAACGAGGAATATCTAGTAAGAAAAAATATATATATTATTCCTGTATAAATTTTTACTCGAGGAAATTTTTTGGTAAATATTCGTAAATATTTTGTATATGTTTTTTTTTTTTCTCAACGGGGAGGAAGATAAAATTTACTTAACATTAATTACATTTTAGGTGACGGTAAGTGGCCACCATGTGTGTTTATAATAATTTTTTAAGTTAAGCAATAGTGTAGTGAATACTTAGGGATAAGGTGATAGGGATATTTATGATTTTAATATTTTTGAATAGTAAAAAAATATATTTGGTGTGTGTGTGTGTGTGTGTGTGTGTCCTTTGTTTTATCTTATTCTATATTTTACAGTTGACTTTACTTATTTATTTTTCCTGTTTCCCATTATCTCTTATTTTCATTCTGAATAGAAAGAAAGAAAGAAAGTGGAGTTAGAAAGAAAGAGAAAATGAGAAAAAGAAAGAGACGAATGGAAAGAGAGAGAGAATTAAGAGAATTAAGACAGAGATAGAGATATAAAGAAAGCGAAAGTGAACAACCAAGGTTAGAAAGTTCGTAGAAAAATACATATCCTTGCCAAGGTTAGAAAGGCTGTAGGGAAAGCAAGATCCTCGCAACTGATGACGATAGAGAGAAAGAAAGAGAGAGAGCTTTCTTTTCTCCTTTCTCTTTGCTTACTTTCTCACATCTTAATTATACAATGTTAATATATCTTAACTACTTAACCCGTCTTAAGTGAAGTAATCAGTCGACACAAGTTGACAGAAATTACTTATAAATCTGAATGACTTATCAGTGCATATATTACTTCTATCTATCTATCCATCTATGAGAAAACAAGTAAAAATATTCACAAATACACAATACTTAAATTAATTAAAATCACCGTGTTACTAAAATTGGATTGACTTAAATTCCTAAAATTACTTAAAATACTTTAAGAAAAACTTGATAGAACTTTTAAGAACCCAAAATATCACAATAAATTAAAGAACCTTAAATTAAGAAGTTAAAGTTATAAAAATTTAGGAAACTTCAGAGCATAATTAACTGAAAAATCTGCAACAAACTAAACCGCAAAAATTTACAAAACAAATATAAAAAAAGATATGTCGAGGTTTTAAGTCACTACACACGAGGGAAAAACACATTGAAGTAACTACAAAATACACGGGGAGAGATTTACCCCTTACCTGGAGCACAGTGTGATACTCGAAGACTGACAGAGAGGGAGACGAGCAGGAGGGACACACGCACACACACTGACAAGGACTTCAGGGGACTTCCTACCTACGAGTTCTCCCCCACCATTTATAACCCTTCCTACTGCAGGTGCCAGATGCGCGAAACCTGCCTGGGCTGGCTAGAGATACGACAGGGAGCTGGTGGAGGAGCATGACCAGTGGAGGAGGAGAGGGGGAGGAGGAGGAGGGGAGGAGGGAGGAGGGGAGGAGGGAGGGGAGAAGGAGGGAAGATGTGGAGAAGGAGGAGGGGACCACTTGGCCATACAGGGATCACCTGACATACAAGGGAGAGGGAGGGCAGGTGGGGGGGGAGGGTCAGGGAAGGGGAAGGGGAAGGGGGCAGGGAGGGGGAAAGGGGAGGAAAGGAGGGAACAAGGACCCGGGGAGGGGGAGGGCAGGGAGGTAGGGTAGGGGTTCAGGGAGGGTAAGGGGGAACAAGGGAGAGGGAGAGTCAGGGAGAGGGGGGTGGCAAGGGGGTGATTCACGTGAATGTCAAAGACCTGAATATTCCTAGCTTACCGGGGATGATGTACAGAGGACCACTGCCTGACGCTCCAGGACCACTGGGCCATACAGGGACCACCAGGACATACAGGGACCACCAGGACATACAGGAACCACCGGGCCATAAAGGAAACACCGGGCCATATAAGGGATATCAGTCCATACAGGAATCACTGAGCCATAATGGGACCACTGGACCATAATGGGACCACTGGACAAGAAGATGACGAGGATAGGCAGTCTGGTTGAAGATGGTTGATGGTGGTTGAAGATGGTTGATAGTGGTTGATGGTGGTTGATAGTGGTTGATGGTGGTTGATGGTGGTTGAAGATAGTTGATGGTGACTGAAGGTGGTTGTTGGTGGTTGATGGTGGTTGAAGATGACTGATGGTGGTTGATAATGACTTATTGTGGTTGATAGTGGTTGATGGTGGTTGAAGATGACTAATGGTGGTTGATAGTGGTTAAAGAAGTGGATGAAAGTGAATGAAGATAATTGAAGGTGTGGATGAAAGTGGATGAGGATGACTGAAGGTGTGGGCGAGGGTGGATGAGGATGACTGAAGGTGTGGGCGAGAGTGGATGAGGATGGTGTTGTTTGCTGTTTCATATCATTTCAATCAACCATTTTTTTTACAGTCGTCGTGTTGGTCAGTCTGTTATTATTACCACTCTATTATTATGGAGTTGAGGCTGCTACTGCTGCTGCTACTGTCACTGCTACTGTCACTGCTACCTTTATCCCTGTCGGCGGTGCTCTCATTGCTGCCGTTAATATCCTCGGCTGCTCCCGTTAGTGGTAGTGGTGGTGGTGGTGGTGGTGGTGGTGGTGGTGGTGGTGGTTGTTGTCCTGGGCGGAGTTGACCATCCCGGGGCGGCCAAGTTCAGTGACTGGTACTGCCCCCATTGTTACAATTAACATGATGGAGTGACATTACCGGGAGGGAGTGGATGATCAGGATGGAACTACAGGATGGTGTGATGTGTCAGGATGGGAGGGGGAACTATTAGGATGGAATACTGAGATGGAGTGGTGCTATCAGGATGGAGTGGTGCTATCAGGATGGAGTGATACTATCAGGATGGAGTGGTACTATCAGGATGGAGTGATACTATCAGGATGGAGTGGTACTATCAGGATGGAGTGGCACTATCAGGATGGAGTGGTACTATCAGGATGGAGTGGTACTATCAGGATGGAGTGGTACTATCAGGATGGAGTGGTACTATCAGGACGGAGTGGTACTATCAGGATGGAGTGGTACTATCAGGATAGAGTGGCACTATCAGGATGGAGTGGTACTATCAGGATGGAGTGGTACTATCAGGATGGAGTGGTACTATCAGGATGGAGTGAGGTTCAAGATAAAGTATCCCTATAAGGACAGAAAGGCACATCACATCCACACACCCACCCAGCACATCACACCCCCACCACACACCCAGCCAGCACATCACACCCCCACCACACACCTTGTCAGCACATCTTACACCCTGACACACGCACACCTCCGTCACCCTCCAGCGACAGGTGATGGACCACTACATGATCACACTCGTGGTATAACAGTCATCTGTCTCCTGCAGTGAACACAAGATGATTTACCTACAACAACAAGACAATTGATTAATACCAACACGAAGCTGGCTCACACACACACACACACACACACACACACACACACACACACACACACACACACACACACACACACACACACACACATAACAACAATAAAATATGAATAGTACAATATCTAGAGAGTTGTGTAATATATAAATCGACATATTTTGTAAATATTTCAATACGACCCTTGTCTTTCTTCTTGTGGTGAAAAACAATGTCAACAGAAGCTCAAATAGATACATATTTTTTGTTAATGTGTCCAAATTATAGTTCCCAGCTGAAAAAGTTCTCGAGATATCGTCCGGACAATCATGTTAGAACAGATGGAAAGAAACACACGGGGCAACCACTGAGTACCCCACCCCACCCTTTCCCGTCCCTCCCTCTTTTTGGAGTCATGTATTTGAGATGAACTCCGCGTGGCTTCTGGATACGAAATGGGGAAGGGGGAGGCAGTATACAACACACACACACACACACACACACACACACACACACACACACACACACACACACAAACACACACACACACACACACAACACACACACACACACACAAACACACACACACACACACACATACACATCTTTAGGAAAACTTGACTCACAGTTCATACATTACACACTACTGTTATCGAATGGTCGCACCCACTTCTTCAACACACACACACACACACACACACACATTCCCGGGCGACAAAACCAGATTAAGTTTATGACTGACTCTTTAGTAGCAAAAACGGAATACTTTGGCCAGAAGGTGTTGAACCAAGAAGGTAGAATAAGGACGACCCTTCCCTCCCTCCCTGCAACACGCCCACCACGCCATACACACACGTAAATCGGGAAGCAGATGTAGTGTAAATGTAAAAATTACCCCTGGCTGTATATGGTTCAGAGTGATTAAAACTGATCTGGAAAAAATACTACAGGTTGTAAGACTATTGCTACACACACACACACACACACACACACACACAGATACACACACACACACACACGCACACACACACGCACACACACACACACATACATTAATTGGTTAGAAGTTATAAAAAAAACGCTTGGTACGGTACTTAGTAGAACTGGTTGACTGACTATCTACCATCACCACCTCCACCACTCATCACTACCACCACTACCATCACCACCATCATCATCATCACCACTACCACCACCACCGTTACCACCACCACCACCATCGTTATCATCACCACCAATATCACTCATCAGCACCACCACCACCCATCACCACCGAGAAGGAGATGAGGTCAAGAACTGGAGTAAGGTGGAGGAGTCTAGTTCCCCTGATAGCGAGGTAAGGGGGGTGGGGGGGAGGGGGGGCAGGGGTTGAGGGGGAGGGAGAAAGAGGGGTAAGAGGGGGGGGGTTAAAGGATGCGGGTTGACGACCTCTACGCGTCTCCAGCGGTTGATTCACCTCACCTCACCTTCTTCAGGTATTACCTTCACCTTCTTCAGAATCTGGATTCTCGAGAGCCGGTAACGTTCAATTATCCTTGTAACAGGAAGGTGTGAGGACGCACCTAACTGTTCCTCCTCAGATAAGACCCCAAAGGTCGACTTCCAGTGATAGTAAATGATGTCTTTAAACTGCGACACGAAGATGAATTTTTAATAATCTATAAAGTTTAATGTTAAGCTCCTGTGATGGCGCGCCTCACTACCCCCACTGACCCACCCTTAAGATGTAACACCAACACCCAGAAGACTCGTAACGTGCATCTTTTAGCTCGTCACTTAACTGAGGGAGAGGCAGAAAACATCAATTTACGATAGTAGAGTCTTGAAGCAATTATGACGCCATTGTGACCGTCACCTTTGTGTTATGAGCTTGAATGAGCTAGTTAGGAGACATTCTCACATCATTTAATTAGGAGGTAGATTTATTTATCGGACAGCCTCACAAGATCCTCGACCCAACAAGTTCGCAGACCTCGACCAACAGGACGCCGCGCCGCCTGCTGCCTCAAGGTCATCACTCTCGTTTTTAAATATTTATTTCACAAACTCTACCATTACCAACACCCGAGGCCTCACACACACACTGCCCGGATTACTATACACTTTATTCTCTAGTTTTGAGACTCAAGATATTCTTAAGTGTTACTGATGAAGGGATGATCACTATCTCAATAAGTAATGTTGTCCCTGGATACTTGGGTACTTACACGTGGTCTTCTTAAATATTAAAAGTTACATTTCTCCTGGAAGGCTGTTACTTACAATGTGATCTGTGGGCGATTAGTTATGAGTCAAGGTGGGTACTATATACTTTTTTGTTAAGTATTAAGTAGAGAGATTTTACAAAGTAGTGAATTTCGAGTTTGTAGTTAGCATAAATATTTGTTTATTCGACTTTATGGTCACCTGAAGATTAGCATCTCCCAGCTTATTTCGCCTGATGATGAAACACCCTAACGTTACCTGGGGGGTTAAGCTAGGTTGAGATAAGCTGGTTAAATTAGGTTAGGTAAGGGTAGCTTAGAGTAGGTTAGGTTAGATTAAGTTATATAAGGTTGTTACGTTAGAGTAGGTTAGGTTAGGTTAGGTTAGGTTAGGCTGAAACAAGCTGGGGGAATAATCATCATGTGATCCCTACTCTTTGTGACTGTTAGGTTGAGGTTAGACAAAATGGCCCTCTGCTGGTTCAGGTGTTCTTATTGGTACTCCTGTTATCACCCTTTTCATTTTCTTCGTATTTTGGAGAGGGAAGGCGGGAGAAGAAAGAGAGGAGGAGGGAAGTAGGAGGGAAAAAGGAAGCAGGAGTGAAGTGGGAGGCCGCGGGGGGGGAGGGGGGGTAGGAATATTTAAAAGACATAATGTGTTTTTGTCTCTGCAAGTCTTCCTGTTATCCACCTCATTATCTTTTTCTTTCTCTCTTATTGTGTTTCTGTCGTTAGCA